GGTACCAGCACATAATGGATAGACTGCACGGTTGGTGCGGTGGCGGGGCAACCGGCTGTCGTGCAACGTGTCGCGGGTTCGATTCCAGCACGGAACAACACTTTGTATGATCCACAAATTGTTGTTTCGGGTCTGGGTGTCATGTGTATGTGAACTTGTATGTTTGTAAACGCACCCACGACACAGGAGATAATCCTAGTGTGGGGCAACGTTTAAAAAAAAAGATTTCAAAATTCTGGAGTTTGGAACAGATAAGTAAAATTGGAGTGTCCGTTTGTAATATTGATGTAATCGGTTTTTACTACATGCCTATTAATGTACACACGATGCACATACCAAAATAACACTTTTTAAAATTTTTGTCTGATTGTTTGTAGTGGCAAATCTCTGAAATGGCTGGACCGATTTGATGGGACTTTTAGTGGCAGGTAGCTGATGTACTAAGGAGTACGTAGTAGGAGCTATGTCACCCTAAGTAACTTTTAGCTAAGAGATGGTTTAGGTGCGATTAGAAAGAATTCTGATGAATTCTTTGGTTGTGATTAGAAGAAAACGAGATGAAAGATTTTAAGTACAGTAGGAAATTGTTCAGAAATAAGTTCATATATTATTGGGTCACATATCCTCAGGAAATGAAAACGAACCATGTTAAATCTGACCACCATCATGGCCGCTTGACATGCACATGCGAAACAGTAGCCATTCACATATTCTCCAAACACTATCCAATTGAGAATAAACCTTACCTTACAATACCTAAAGTTTATATCAGATTGGACGATGATAGAAGCCATAAGGCTTGCCAAATAAATACTAACTCAATGTCTAAGGTGATAAAGATGATAATGGAGTGTTGTATGCTTTGGTCTTCCACATGAATGGCCACTGTGATGCAGTTTACTTTGTTCATTGAGTATTATGAACACCATGAAGTTTGGATTTTATGGGATAAAGTTGATTAAGTTTTTTATTAGGGCGATAATAAGGTTGGATGTTCGAAGAGAACATATATGTACAATTTTGGAAAATGTATCGGAGAGATTGAAAAAAGAAAGGAAGTTTTGTTTTGTTTTTATCATAACTATGTGAGACATACTAAATTAACTAAAAATCGCGGGTTACTCACGTGAATATACTGAGAAAAGCTCTACTAGTTTCGAACCACAGAGTAGGCTGCGCGACATCGCCGTGACCGCGCACGCTGCTCATGAAGAAGAACCCCTCTGTGGTTCGAAACTAGTAGAGCTTTTCTCAGTATATTCACTTGAGTAACCCGCGATTTTTAGGTAATTTTTGTTTTTAACTCGTCAAGTACCGGCATTGTAGACACAATTATAGAACAATAGGTTGCGGTCACCGGTGACCGCTTGGTGTTTGACAGTTTAAAGAGTAACGAATAGAGTCTTTAAACTCTAATGCCCAAAAGCAGGTAACGCACTTCTAACGCGTCTGGTGTTCCGGGTATCGATGGGCGACGCCGATTGCGTACTACCAGGTGATCCGTTTGCTCGTTTACCGGCTTAACCCATAAAAATGGATTCCAAACCAGCCTATGTATTAGGCTGTCGAATTTGTTGTCATTGAACTTATGAGTAGTACCCAAAACCCTTAAATAATTCCCTAACACAACGCGGCTCCTTCCTAATTCCTTCCTAAAATTCCTTCTCTGAATATTCTTCGCTCACTTGTGAAGACTGATTTTAATAATTTAAGATGACAAACGTATCTTACTTGGTCTTAGAGAATTTTTTAATAATATTCAAATTCACTCAGATGTTTCCACGTGTAAATAAATAATATTGCATATTACCTTCATCAAATTACTTCAAAAGTTGAGATCATCAATCACCTTTTTTTTTGAGGGGGAAAATCATCCAATAACTGTTTTTATTCGAAGAAATGTCTATCGGGACAAACCTTTGAAATGTAGGCAGGTTTGTATCTGCAAAGATTTCCTTAAAAATTTGACTTCATTTACATAATTTTTATAATAGTGATGATGTTTTGGGACATGCTTTAATACGTTTGTAACACTGCGACTCTTGTAAGAGAAACTAATTACATAATTGAACATAACAGCAAGCCTTTTATCTCCAAAGGGGAAGGCAGAGGTGCACATTACGGCACATAATGCCATTGTACAATATAGCACCCACTTTTCACTATTTATTTTATGAGTCCCATGTATTGATGGCAATAGGCTCACCCCGTATTACATGGGACTCATAATATACCCGGTATATGGATACCGGGCACAATTCCAGACTCCGTGCTACTGAGAATTTCTTAAAAAGACTCTGTAATACTTTGCCCGACCCGGGAATCGAACCCGAGACCCCTTGCCCGGAAGTTGCACGTGCGACAACTCACCCAACAAGGCAGAGAAACTAACTAAGACAAGAAAAGTTCAAAGATAATCAACCAAAAATGATACAGAAAATCTTTAAGATATTTATTATCTTGAATATCCTTGTCAATTACAACTCATACTTCCATAAACTATGTAGTTAGGTACAATAGCAATTGTTCCTAAGCCAGTGCAGTCCCACGCTAATAAAAGTCATAAAGGATCATCGCCCCAACCTTTTGTAACTGTGTCAAGGTTAGACCACGCCTAGACAGATGTACCACGTCTTACTGAGCTTAGTTCTATTATTCATACACTGCTGAGCTAATACAGTGGTGGTGCATGGCGTTCTGCGCCACAAAGAGCCAGATTCACAGATGGGGGCCCTGTAGGGCTGATGCCTGACCTGAAGCTGTGGACGAAAAGCGGGTTACCGAGACTCTGGCTCGAAGTACGAACGGGGAGGTGTATAGTCAATAACAGTCTGACGCTCCTTGACTCTCTCTCACCTCACCCAGGGCGGGAGGAGTCATTGGATGATTTGATGATTTCCTTCTTCAAAAAAATCATGTCACGAGTTTAAGTATGTTAATTCTGATAGCGTCAGAAAAAAATAACCCAACGAAGGGACCACTAGTAGTCAAATAATTATTAAGTGATTTTTAAGTCCCAATACAATAAAAGACAAGTATTGAGATAGAAACTCGCATCACTTTAACCTAACCTAACAAATTCGCCTTATTTTTATAAAACTATTATTTATACCGATCACAAAAAATACGGTTCCATATGAATAAACTCAGGTCCCTCTCATCAATTTACCATCAGCGTAACCCTTTCCCGAAATCGATTAGGGTCACCTTCGCCTGTGTGACTAGAGAACAGATGGTTTTTTGTCCCTATATTATTGTTGCTATATGTATAAGAGTCACACTTATTAATCCCTTAAATGCAATGTAGAACACATTTGTCATGTACACTACTCCTGCTAGTCCTACTTTCTTCAGCTTTATATGTATAAATAAGAGTAAAAAGTATAAGACAAAGAATTATATAAAGAATTTGTTTGTTTGTTGACTGCCTCGTTGGCCGAGTGGTCGCAAGGGGTCTCGGGTTCGATTTCCGGGTCGGGCAAAGTATTACCGACTCGGTAATTCTCTTTTTAAGAAATTCTCAGTAGCACGGAGTTTGGAAATGTGCCCGGTATATGACAATAGGCTCACCCCCTATTACATGGGACTCATAACATAAATAATGAAAAGTGGGTGCTACATTGTAAGTACAGTAGCAATCAGTGCCGTAATGTGCACCTCTGCCTACCCCCCGAGGGATAAAAGGCGTGATGTTATGTTATGTTAATTTGTTTGTTTGCACCGCACTAATCCCAGGAACTACTAGACAGAGTTGAAAAAATCTGATGGTGTAGGATAGTCCACTTATCGAAGAAGGTTATTGACTTTAAAATATCACGCTACGATCAAGAGGCGCCGAGCAGAGCGGTTGAAACTATGCAACTAGCTAGCTTCTAGGTACCTATAGACTTCAAATGGATTCAATAAAAATTAAAATGTGGTTATACCAAATCAATATGTATGTCAAGTCTCATTCTTACGTCAACGTATAGTCATCCTATTTAGAAGCTACTGTTCGAAACCAGTGACCACTTTTAAAAGTATTTTTTAAGGAAAATGGTAGCATTTCGACTAGGTCTTTGATGTAGTGGTGTTGCGAAATGGTAGCTTCGCTTTTGTTTTTATAGTTTCTTTATCGGTTAATTGTTTTTTGAACATTTGAGAAGGGCTCTTAAAGTTTGGTTGTCTTTGGGATTTTTATCGTTGAAGAACAAAAGGTTTTGGTGTCTGTATGTGTGTCTATGTTCTATAAACTGTAGATACCTATTGATATTGTGAAAGAGTGAAGTGTATTTTTGTTAAAGTGTGACAAATTGTTGAAGTGGTTGTTTGATGTGGATTTGTTTTGAACTAATTTATGATTTCATTTTTGAATAATACCAGTTAAAACTGTGTGAAAACCTAGTCTTTATGTAGCTAACTATATTATAAAAAACATACATTTATGTATGTAAACAAAAAGCTGTAGTTCCGGAACGTTCACCATTTCGAGAAATGTTAACGAAATACAACACATGCTTCATTTTACATGGAATTCATTGTACAATCGGTTTTCACGATTATCCTGTTAGCACTATTTATCATCACATCCTTATGTCCCACTACATAAGACCTACAATAGCATACCCATCTCATTAGACGCGTTCGACGTTTCCAAGTTAATTAGAGGAAAACATCGAACAAAACAGAGATACATTTAAATTTAAACAATAATGCTCGATGCTGGTACAAACTACAGATGTGGTAATGAATTTATATTGCTATGCCCTCCAACCAATACAATCTAAGTTACTCTAAGTTTATTGGCGAGAGGCACACGACTTTACAGCCCGTATCGATACAATTAAATATAGCAATAAAGATGTATATGTCTCGGCGCCTGATCTGTCTTATCTAATGCACATTGCATTTAGTTTTAGTGTGGTTGCGCCACGCATGCTCCAGCTGCCACAGAAATAACGTAGAATATCGGTCACACAGACTCGAGCGCAGAATGAACGCATCGAATTAATTGCCGGACGGCGCACCACTATCGTGGTGGACGTGCCGCGCGCGGACGCTTCCGCTACCACATTTTAAAATTAAAAATAATAAAAAGCGCGCCAACTTTACTGTCAGTGTCAAACTTACCGCCTAATTTAAATTTCTTTTTTATTTCTTTTTTTTTCTTGTTGTGGTGGAACATTATTTTCGAAAATAGTGATGTTGGAGCCGAATTATGAGAAGCGAAAATAGTGGGCTATCAAACAAAGGTCAAATATGCGTTCGTGTATAATTAGGAAAATAATGATAAGCGATCGCGGTCGAGTGCAAATGTCGTCGCTATCGTACGCGCGCTCTACACGGTTATGGAGACGTCAAAGCTTAGTTTCGCGGAATCCCGCGTGTTGATTCATACACCGGTTATCGTGCAGCGGCGGCAAAATGTGTGAACTAGCAAGTTGGATTCCGAACGCAGTCGCGGCCACACTGCGCTCCGAGACAGCGCAGCCGATTATCGAATGGCTTACGACAATACGACTGGCGATCGAGGAGTACGACCCGTTGGTCACAGTCATACCACCAGAACCCGAACCCGACACAGCTGACAACAAGTTCGACGAGATACTCTCCGACCTCGGCAAGGAGATCTACAAGCTCGACGAGTACCAGCGCCATCTAACGCCGTCCGAGAAAGAAGTGTCACTTAGCATTCTTAACATATTCGACGAGTGTTTGGAACACATGACTGAACAAAAACAAACAAAAACCAGTGAGAGTGAATGTGAATCAACCCTGTCGGACGTCTCATTCGTGACGAGTACTCCGTCTAGTGTAAAAGTGAACAATAACGTAAACACAATATTTGACAACGGTGACGGTACCCCGATACCGCCGCGGCGGGCTCGTTTAAAATCCATCTGTGACAATTCAATCTCTGATATGGAGTCAAATAATCAGGAGAGCGACTCGTCGAGTGACTCAGAGAGCACGTGTTGGAGCTACAAGGAGTGCAGTACGGACGATAATGAAGTCAACCCTTATGCCGAAGTGTGGGCCCACTCGACCGGCTTTCACAATTCCGATGAAATATTACGTCGTGTATTATCGCAGCACCACGCCACGATATCGCGTCTTTCGTTTGACACGGCGAGCGACTTTATACCTGCTCGGTATTCAGTGTACGCGTTGGACGAGGTGGGAGAATGTAAGGACAGGTGTGTTGACAGTGGCTCAGTAGCAATGACGCCGGACAAGCCGACGGACGACGGCTACGAGCCGGTGCGGGACGCGATCACCGACGAGAATATTTACGAGGAGATCGAGTATGGATATAGTTATACCGACGAGGGATGTTCCTGCGGTGGTAGTGTTGAAGTGGAAAGTTGTTCGATCAGTGCTAGTTCCGATGGTGTGGGCAGAGACAGTCCTTTGTACGCGAACCTGCGGGATCACGACGCGTACGCGATCCCTCCGGATGTTATTTATTGGAAGAACTTACTACTGGATCCGTACTTTAACGACGACGAGGAAGACGAAGTGAGTACTTGTTCATTGAATACTAAATATGCCTAGAATATATTGTGAAATATTATTGCATGGAAAGGCTATCCTTGATAATTGAACGTTTCGTTTGAGTTTAAATTAGAACGTAAGTAATTAAGGTTCTGTTGTGTTCGTTTCGCGATTGGCCAGAATTAACGCTTCAATTTAAATTAATTACTCTACCTTATAAGAAAGATCTTGAAATCTTATAATAAAACATTGTATCAACATGCAGGTTACTGCCCATCCTGTTGGATAAAATCTCCAACCTCTGATATCTAGGGGTGTTCTGTGGGGTAGACTATTAATAGCATATTGACCATAATATTATGATTATAGAATAAACAACGGCGTGTGATTATTAGGGGAGGAAGGATAAACTGGGATGAAGTTATATCTGTTAATATGTTCATTAAAAGTCAGGAATTTATGTTATTTAATATTGAAGAATGTATTAAATACTCTGGACATATCTCTATTCCCTACCTAAGCATTGTTTCTCAAGGAACGCCATGATGACCTCATGTACCTATGCAAATGCGATAGTTTATTCTACTCGAGCCTATTCTAACGAACTGTTTAATTAAACAACAAGACATTTACATACAAACATAAATAAACTCGAGTTAACTATATGCAATATTTATGATTGAAAATCGGCAGCGAAATCTATTACACACCAACATTTTCTACCAGACTTTGTAAATAAATAAGCATCCGTTTGTTAAAATGTGTTAAAATAAATATAAAAGCAGTAAAAACAGTAGTTAACACAATTTTGATGTTTCCTGAAATAAGATACTGGCCAATATGTGAATCTGTAAGCCTGGTCGGGTTCTGTTACGTGTTCATCACTTCAAAGAATTTGATGCACAATAGAAAGAATAGAGCCATAAACAATCTTAAGAAAAGCATTCCTGAGACGCCATTGGAGTTGTTAATCCAATAGAAAATATTCAAAGGGTTACTAAGGCTATAAAAGATAACAAATTTAATTTAGAAGAGAAGAATACAGCTATTAAACATTCTAAAGAGCTGGAAAATTTAACAGAACCACAATGAGCTAACAATAATCTTGACATAAGTCGGCAATGAGCCGTTTTTATTTCGTTCCTTGGTCAGTTTTTATGTCTGTCTTGAATGACTTTCCGTATTGATGGACATCGATTTATTTATACATCTCGAAAAAGGTATTAAACGCAGGATGCGACAGAAAGATCATGGGAAGTCTTGATACATCGCACGCCTTGAAATCGAATTAAGAAATAATTTATTATTGACAGAGTTTTGTTTGAGAAAGAAACTTATTTCTGTGTTACTAAAGTTTAATTTTCAATTCTTGTGGTAGGTACGGGAAATGATAAACTTGATGGATGTTTAAAATGAAATGAGTGGTTTATTAAACAATGATTTTAGTAAACAATTAAAAGGTCTGAGTCAGCCATTGTGGATTTAAACATATTTGTGAACCTAACAGTCATATAAAGTTAATTGATAATACAATTATTACAAAGTAATGTAAATAATGCGTCACTTTTACTAATTAACACAATTTTTATCTATGACTAATTGCCGTAGGTACTTACTTACTTAGAGACAATTTATTATTACCGAACATAACATAACATCACGCCTTTTATCCCCGAAGTGGTAGGCAGAGGTGCACATTGCAGCACTTAATGCCACTGTACAATGTAACACCCACTTTTTACTATTTATGTTATGAGTCCCATGTAATAGGGGGTGATCCTATTATCATAAACCGGGCACAAATCCAGACTCCGTGCAACTACTGAAAATTTTTAAAAACCCAGTTACTTTGCCCGACCTGGGAATCGAACCCGAGACGCCAACGAGGCGAACGATTGCCTGAACTATTCCTTAGTAACCGATTTTGTTCTGAAAACTGCTAAAAATTGGGTTATGTAGCCATTAAATATCTATGAGTACGACGATAAGACAAATATATTTAATTTGTTTATTAAAGAAGGGCCAAATTAAAAGTACCCTTAACCGACGAGCATGCATAAAAAGATTGATGACTGTCGATAAAGCGAAAGAGGTATGTAGGAATCGTTGCAATTAGCGTTCCATAATCTCTGCCTACCCCATGGGAGACAGGCGTGAAGTTACGTATGTATTAGTTAATGAATGGAGGAATGCGAAAGTTGTCCCCATATCAAAGACATTGTCTTATTACAAATTTAAATTCAGATGCTTCGTTAATGGACTTTTTAATGCGGATTTCTATTCTATAATGATTTATGTTCAATGATATGGATAACGATTATTAATTGGGTACACACATTATCATATTTGGTTAACGACACATTCTAATTATAAATAACCATTATTGGGTAATCCCGTTTATTATATCCATGGGTAAATCAGATTCGGAGTGACTAAACAATTTAATATAGGCAACAAAACTAGTTATACTTCCGTAAATAATAAAATATTTACATAGCTATTCGAAATTACATAATATCACGCCTTTCATCCGCGAAGGGGTAGGCAGAGGTGCAACTTACCAACGGCATTTAATACCGCTGTACAATGTAACACCCACTTTTCACTACTTATGTTATAAGTCCCATGTAATATTTAGTGAGCCTATTGCCATGTACCGAGCACATTTCTAGGCTCCGTGCTACTACTGAGGACCCAGCACTCGCACTTGCGACCATTCGGCCAACGAGGCACTCAAAATTACACCAATAGATAATAAAAGCCACCTAATTAAATAATTACACATAATTGGTAATAATACAGTTTTAACTATTACAAATTAACAGGTAATGTTTAATATTATCTGCGACTAATCACCTCATTTAACTATTGCAACATCTAAATATAGTTCAGAATCATTAATAACCAATTATAGACTATAGAATTATAATACAGAACCACTTAACTGAATGTAGGTAATAAGCAAATATATAAATGACCACGTTTGTCTTTAACCGTAAACCGTGCTAATAATTTTAGACATTCAAATATGAAAGAAAGAAAGAATGAGAGAAAATCATTCATTCGGCACATTGCATGCACTGAGACGTAGACAAAAATTAAAAAAATCAATACTTAAATAAAAAATAAACCAAAAAAGTAAACAAAAATAGATGCATGCCCATGTCGAACGGACTTCAACCTCAGCATTATGTTGAGCGTGGTAACACTCAACATCAAACGTTCAAGCATGTTTTAGACTAGGTATCTAAATAGTAGGTATATTGGCATAAAATAATCCAAGATCGTATTTGCATTGATCAAGGCGAAATTCCTACCATTCTAGACAATAAACATGGCTGCATAGCGCATGTAATTTTCTTTATGAATCACACTATAGACTATATGCATACGATGTTTAATTACCAGTCATTAAATGTGCATAATGCACATAATGAGTCTCCCGATTTCCTTACCAGTTACAAGCTATCGTAACGTAATCAATTTCACAATTATTCTTAGAAGGACATCACCTAGTTTTGTGGTATTTTTAGTAGAAATGGGACTAAGGGGTATATACAACTGGTGAAATGTGTTTATCGGTAGACTTCAGACCACTGTGCTAATAATATTTTATAACGATAAATCAGATTTGTTGGCCAAAAAGCCGCAGGCTTGAAGTGGAACTGGGCTGGTCATGTCTGCCGCGTGTCAGACGAGCAGTGGGCAAAACTTACTACTTAGTGAAGCCCACTCAACGTCAGTAGACGTCGCGGCAGATCCAAAAGGAGATGGCGGGACGAATTAGACATCTATGACAAGGATTGGCCGCAAAAAGCTTTACATAGAGAGGAGTGGAAGGAGGGTAGGGAGGCCTTTGCCCTGTAGTAAGACGATCACGGCTGAAAATAAAAATAAAATAAAAATAAAGTGTAACAAATATTTTGAAAAACTCAGCATAATCAGTTCAGCCGCAGATAATATTAAACATGCATACATACAAACATACAGGTCAAATTGAGAAACACCTTCTATTTTTGAAAGTCTGTCAATAATTCAATTGCACTTATGTTAAAAATGGACAACAATCGCTATCTTTTGGACTATGGTGATTAATTTTGACCAAAAGAAAACACAAGAACAATAGTAGAACCTTAATTAAGCAATAAATCGAAATGTCAACGTAATAATGGAATAGAAATATAATGCAAAATTTAAGTTTCTTAGTGATATGATGAATGGCCCAATGGCGTAGGTTCCATTCATTTTGATGTAACAGCTCTTGAATAGGATAAACGTAAGCGATAGTTGCAAGGCCATGTCTATGAGCTAAGGATATATGACACATACAAACAGACAGTGGAGATAGTGAAGATTGATTCTAAACTGTTTGCGAGATTTGTTGCCCTTTCTGATTTTAGGAGATCAGAAATATTATCAGTGAAATGGTTATTTTACTTGATGGAATGAGCTAGAACATGTTTGAATAGGGTAGATGACTAATTTTTATTTTAATGACCGTCTTTTAGATTAGTTTAAAACATTAGACACGTATTTTATATATTTTTACGGTCACCGGTGACCTACGTTAGCGGAGGATTTGCCTTCAGCAATTTTCTGTCGGCAGTCAAAGGCTTAAATACAGACGTAAAAGATAAAATTTGCCTTCAAAATTGAACTCCACGAATCCATTTGATAACTTAAACTGATAAAAACGTGTTATTTTAACCAGAAATATGTAAATACGATGTGCAAACTGGTAACGTTGTAATTGTGCGCAATTTGGCAGACATTTCGCATTTAACGCATCATTTACTACAGTAATTGGTGATTAATGAAACTCTACTTACGTTTTTCTTTCATTTACTGGCAAATTAAGATCTGTTTTGCGACGTTCTTTTCTAAGTATTGTATTTATCTTAGACTTACTTTGTTGCTATAGTTTCACAATTGCAGGCATCCATAATGTCTTCATCTGGTGTATCTGTGTGGCAAAAATTACCTCAGTGTTTCTTTGACATAACATAACATCACGCCTTTTATAC